GAAGATCAGTGGTTAGCTCATAATATAAAATGTACCACTAGATTAAATCTGTACGTAAGATGTGGAATAGTTTTATAGGGCAGGCAGACCTAACGTACTTGCGACTTGCTGAACTTAAAATGCAATATCATAAATATCAATTAAGTAGAATGGAGGTTTTTTTCAGCCAAACATGGATCACCTAGTCGGTTAAGAGACAGCGCAACAACTGTTGTATTCACGAGAAAACTCTGGCTTCAGTTTGTACACGATACTGAGCCACTGAGTGGAGGGAATCATTCTTTTGGATAGGTATGTCATATTGTCAGCGGTAAGCAGTCCTATTACTCTGATCAATCAAGGACAATATCAGATCCAAACATGCTTTGTTGCTGAAGCAGTCGACAGATTGACCATGATATACGCCACACATCATCACTGACATCGAAAACCTAGTTCTGTATACTGGCGCCTAACTGCCACCAAGCTATAGAGTAAGTCTGACTAAAGAGTTGAAAAAAGGAAAAGGTAGGGGAGTACTTAGAAGAAGACCTGTCCGTAAGGAACAGGATGAAGTATTAGGTGCATAAACCTTTGAACAGCAATCGAATAAAAACATATTGGCATCATGTCGAGGTAGGGTGCCATCAGCGGGATTGACATCGCAAACCGGATCCGATATAAGTCCAGTGCACGACAACCCTAGCTAGGCAGTTCGATTAGGAGATCACAGCATACTTGCCACTGGAAACGTTCACCTGTCGTGGCTAGTATGGCTACCGGCAACGTGCAGCTAAGACCACAAAGACCCCATTCAAGAACTCACGAACAACCCACTGCACTTCTCAATAAAGCTGAAGGACAGCGCATCCTCTGAAAGTGGAACTCAAACTGGCCGATATTAATGAAAGCTGAAATGGAGAAACAATCGTGGTGACTGCAGTAATCGGAGAGGTGGGCGATTTGGATCGTCGCAACGAGACTCTTGGTGTCCATTGTCGCCTATGGTTACTCGTGCAAGTGATTCGGAGCAGCATGAGGGATTCCAGCCCAGTTGAGGTTGCGCTGCCACATTTTTCGCTCCGTCCGATGGTAGAACAACACCACACGTAAAAACGACCCACAATTTTGGCATCCCTGGATCTCCAAGGCGCATTTGAATCAGATGACGGGTCAGTTTTCTTTAAGGTTTCCTCAGCGAGGAACGTCCCCAATTTTTTTCAGCATACGTTCATTATAATTCCAGTATCGCGGGCGCGTGACTATATACGGGGAGCTCGGTAAAAGCTTTCGTGCACGAATTGGTGCCCACTCTACCCATTTCTATCTAGTTTAGTGATGGACGACATAACGAGTCGAACTCTGGATGGACCTTAGAACCCTGGTGCCGACGAAAACCGTAGATATGAAAAATGCAGCCGACATCGTTCACATCTTCGAAGAGGAGAAAAAGCGCAGACATTCCTGGGTGGACCACATCTTCTGAACATACAAAGAGTATGCCCACGCTTGTGTACATGTGGTCGCTGGACACGCCATTAATAATCCAAGAGGCATTGGAGTTCGTGAAGCATTTTACGCACTTGGACGTTGCGAAAGTTCTGGTTGTAATGTGACAAATGAGGTCGATGCACGAATCTCAAATGTTCGTGCCACGTTCGCGAACTTGAGACACCTATGGCGTCAAAGTTGTGTATCTCCGAATCTCAAGGGACTTGTATCAGGCTACACTAGGGGCTCTTTTTCTTATAGCTGTAAGACATAGCTGAACTGGGACGTCTTCAGATGTCTAACAACCATTGTCTCAGAACCATAACTGGTGTGGGTTGATGTCGGCGAATCCGTAACGAGGCAATTAGAAAGCGAATTTTCGGTTGTGCAACGGGTACGTCCACTGAAGAATGTGTCCAGCACCAGAAGCTGCGTTGGTTGGGAAATCTATTGTGCACGTCAAACTATAGTTTGCCAATTCATAGTGGTGAAAGCAGAGCGGTGGCCAACCTTTGACCTGGCAGATGAGTATGAAACGAGTTGCGAAAAGTCCGAGCGCTGTCGATGTAACTCGCCTTATAGGATAGGGTCCGCATGGTCTCCCTTTGTATGGCTGCAAAATGTGTCTCCCAATCGTGTCAATGGCGTTCTTGTTGTCTGAATAACCGACTGAAGGTGTAGTTGGCTAGCACTAAGTCCCTTCCTCACTCAATTTTCTTTTCTTTATAACAAGGCCTCCATGTAAAGTATGACTTCAAAACATTGCTGTTGTGCTATCGATGACGATGGTAACGACCCTGTCTAAAATGATGCCTGAAGTAGTATGGTCCGGATGGAAATGGTTCAGCTGATTAGATCTGGTGACGTTTGAATGCTGTCTATCCCGTGATTTCACCTGAACCGACAAAACCAATCAAAAGTGAGGCGAAAGTGACCAGTTTATTTGTAACAGTCGTGATTCAACTGTCAGTAGGGCTACTGCTGTACAGTAGCATCGCACAAACAGTGAGACACGGATAGAAACGATGCACCGGCGTGGAATTTGTGGACAGAGGGCACAATCAGCAATGGAATGAACGCGATTGTGCTTAGGACCGGCTCATACCAGAGAAGGTGAACTTGGGAAGCGGACTTTTTGAGGAGGCTTTCTCTGACTCCTTCCGTTTGGCTTGTTCCTCCTGCAAAGAAACAATGATGCAGAGGGGAAAAACTTTGGTTACTAATTCGAAATAACCAACACTGTAGACAATCGTGGACAAACCGTTCGGCTGTAACATCCACTCTGTGTCTATTTGTCTTGACACCGGAAACCAGTACAAGGGCTGAGATTCTGCTAGGTTGCCCAAGCCTAGGCAGGAATCGGTTTCGAACCACGGACCTCCTGGTTAGTATGTCCGCGCCTTAACCACCGAGTTACCTCGAGCAAAAGTGCGTGTGTACAACATCTCTCTGCAATAAGCAACTCCAGATATATGGCAACAAAAAAAGATGTTAGGGAAGCTGCCATGGACGGAAGACCTTCCAGAATGTCCAAAAGTAGCATTCGACTTTAAATATAGTATGTCAATTAGTAAGACCGCGACATCGGCCTCAACCTTCAGAGGACCAACCGGGAACGTGTTACTGACAAGGATGTAATTACCGGATACCTCCAAATCTATCTGAAGAATGAAACAAACCCGAAAAGGCCACAGATACATTCGGTGTTGTGTGGACACTGAACGTTGGACGAGTGAAGATCTTGTTAGATGGAAACTCGTTTCGTTTGCGGTGTAGTGGTTTGACAAAAGATGAACGAAGAAGGAACTCCTCTTTGGACTTGAGTGAGTCACGGGAGACTCAACTAGATTTCTCGTTCAAGATATTCTCGTAGTACGCACACTATCAGAGCCTTGGCTGCCTGAGAACGTGAGCTAAAAGTCATATTAGACCATATCCTCAGTGTAAGAATAGTGTATATCTCATGTGTGCGTTCAGGGACGGATGTTAAGAGGGACTACTTCATCTCTGTGTTCACATAAGTCTGAAGGTGGAGCGTCGTCACAAAAGCCGAAAAAAATACACTCCACACACTTCCAAGTCCAGCTAACTGGACTCGAGCATTTCCGATCTGAACTTCGAGTGTTCGACGCTGGTTTCTACGCTAAATTGGAGGGACTTTCTCAGTTATCTAGGGCATTACATACGGAGCAGCCTGTTTCCCTATAGACTACGTTTCACTAACTTAGGCATATTTCTGCCTACTAGGGAAGTGCGACCTTCGCACACTTACTTAAGGTTCAATAGTGCAAACACGGATGAACACACAAGACGCCCGAGCATCAATCGCAGTAACTGGCCCCTGACTAATATAGCTGTTGCCTACTAGGGAAGTGCGACCTTCGAGAACACACTTAAGGTTCAATAGTGCAAACACGGATGAACACACAAGACGCCCGAGCATCAATCGCAGTAACTGGCCCCTGACTAATTACCATAGCTGTTGATGGAGACCAACTTACCATCAGCTGTTCATGTCGCTCACGGAACAAACCGAGAGGATCGTCGGACTCGCGATAGAAGTCGAGCACCAGCCGGATATCTTCCACATTCCCCATAGCCAACACTGAAGAGTGAGGGAAGAAGTTCGATTATTAGGCAAGTAACGCAATGATAAATTAGGGAAATATTGACTGTGAATGGGAGGCATAATTATAAAATGACTCGATTTTTGAATGGAAACCCTTAATTTTTTGAACAAACGTAAATAAACGACCAAAATGTTGTACCACATTTCTGGCGCCATACCACTCAAACGAAGGACCGAGATACCGCCATGTTGCCCGAGCTTGCACAGAAACAGTTGAGAAGCAGAAATCGGGTGCGCCCTAACCACTGAGCCACTTCGAGCCACCGCGAGCTTCCACAAAAGACTTCATGATCCGTTTCTAATGTTCGATGGCTATCGCGTTTCGAGACTAATTCAACCTAGGTTGTAGAATCCATGAAAACTAAAAGATTGCTTCATTCTTATTAGAAGATATCAGCGTAGCACCTCTCCCTCATTGATTCCTGATGAACACGTTGAAATTTAGCCAAATATGACTGATCAATACGTTTCTAGCTAACATATAACATAAATCATTCTTCAACCGCGAACGGTCGGTTCACTTTAGGTTGCACTGACTGGATCCGCACTGAAAAACTGAACGGAAAGTTTGTATGCTGCCACCATAAAACTCAGTTTAAGTAGACAATGAGAAATCTTCAGGTTTTATCTAAAGAGTTAACCTGAGCTGAAAGGAAGCTGAGAGGAACCGTAAAGTTATCGCATCTTTGCTGTGATTCATCGAAGATACACATCCCATGTATTGCGAGCAAATTCAAACCAGCGACCTGGCAGATAGTGGTTCGAAATATTTTCTGGATTCCTTGTATAATACTTTATGCATAGAAGACGGCTACAATAACATATCACCGATTTTTCATTCGTCTATCGTCACTTGCTGTCTGTTATACTTTCAGAAGCCTGTACCAACTAAAATCACTTTCTACTGAAAGTTCATACCAATAAGTGACAAGGCACACCCCCAAGCAAATTATTGGTGGAGAAAATGTCACGTGACACAGTCAGCAAGGTGCCACGTGATCGACAGGGATCCCCACATGCAGTGAAACAACAAACCTATCAGTAAACTGCAGACGTGACCGGGGTGCTAATCCGGGTCTTGGAGCTTACTATTGCAGCATTTCACTTTGAAAAGACATAACGATTTTCATGAAGGAAGCTACTGACAAGGTTGCTGAGAACTGTTCGACGGCCCACGAACGGTTTCGCCCTTTCCGGGGCCTGAAACCATGTTTGGACAGCTTTTTGATGTTATAATTTGTCACTTAGAAAACACGGACAGATCAAATAGCGCCCCCAGTGAGTACCGGGGGTGACACAGGCTCCCCAAAAGGGGCCAAACTGAGAGCGATAGCCTCAGATTGTCGATTGCCATTCAAATATGTCTACTAAACACCTTACCGGATTATTAAGAGCATACCTGTTTGGATTTACATTAATTCGGTTGAAGGAGCTGCATAGTGCCACGACTAAGGCTTTCATACACATGTTGCTACACTAAGAAAAACCCATGAACTATTTAATTTGTGTCTGGTATACGCAGTAAAAGCCATGAAAGGTGGATCAATTAGAACGATGCAGAATTAAAAGAAACGGTATTTGCTAAACGCCGTTGACGGCGTGACCAGCAAGTGTTGCATTTTTCTACATTCCTCGGGGTTCTATTCCTTAGTGCACGTCGTATCAACCAGTAAACGAGGAAGCGCAAAAACCGGGGTAGGACCAGATTCCTCATTTCTAATATACACTACTTAATTTTGTTCAGTAGCAACGAGTATAAATCTAGGCGGTGTTCGGGTGGTGCAAATACACTCTTGGGTGCCAAAACGTTTCTTTGCGGCTGTTTCTCTTGGGAAAAAAGGCGTACTTAGTCATCCGCATACCATTTTACAATCACCCGAGGAAAATTCACTTGCCTGTGTGTTCCCAGCTTCTTACACTTTTCCGAAAAAAATACTGAAGTTTGGTTTCTCACGACCTTTCGAACAGAACAATTTATTCATGATTGATGGTTTTCGTGCACAGTATTATTCGCTACTGTTGTGTATGACTTCTGTCAGCCGAATGGACGACACTGCGACAGGCCTCAGTGCTGTCATTCAAATGGATTCTACTCATTTCCTCACTCACCGACAAAAAGGGGCATCTGATTGGCATGTTTTACAGTGAACTGTTATATCTGCTGATTCGCCAATCTGAGGTATCTGCTGCCGACCCGCTCGGGTGCCACGTGCCGGAGAAACAAAGACTCACAGAAGGGCACACAGAAGCCATATTCCGAACAAGCGAGTGCGAATGTACAAGCTATTTATTAGAGGGACACTGTCTGAACTCGGTCCAATGCTGACGCACACGTCTGGCTTCGATACGAGACTGTTACGTGCTGCATATTGCGGGGCGTTGTCTGACCTTGATCAACGCGGGCTCGCGCTGTCTGGGTTTGATACAAGGCTGTGAAGGGCTGCATATTGAGGGGACGTTGTCTGTCTAGTCAACACCTAGCGGAGCTGAGAGTCTCCGTAGATTCCGGACATTCAGTGGTTGCTTTCAGGAAGCTGACCTTCCTGATAAGAACGTTGCAGGTTGTGACAGTCGTTCTGCGAAAGAAGCCGCAAAACGCATTGGGACAGTGCTTTGAAGGGTGCACTCCAATACGCTTCTATGCCCAGACCGAGTTGTAGTTCAGTCTATCATATCTGAACAGCAGTAATCCGGGGCTCCAATAGACAAATCAAAGAACGACGTCAGCTAATCACTCCACTTCCACAAAGTACCTTCCGTGGTAAGTTGAGGTACAAGTGGTTAGCACACCATACGGTCCAAGGGGACCGATTAACCAATGTCGCGATACTGCTGACCAGGAAACTGAAGCTGAGCTATGGAGGTCGCGTTATCACAGCCGTAAAGTGACGGCAGCGCCAGTTATTTGGATGACGTTTCCTGTCACAATAGCAATTTGACACGCGTTGTGATGTGTGACTTCCCCCGATAGCCAGATGATCAAACCGAAATCATACCTCTTGCCAGGATCAAACCTTATGTCTTGACAAATAAATGAATCCCCGCAATCAATCAATGTGGAAAAGAGGGATTCTTTCACCCAGCAGAGCCAGAAATGTGTACCATTAGACAGGTTGAAGTTGGGGAACATGTTCTTACAAGCTGGGTATGAAGATGTGAAAGCTGATGCATCTCCAATGGTGACATAAACAGTTTAGTGAACTGGCAAATGTCGGTCAATGACAGATCTGATGTCACTGTAATGAAACCTCATAAAGAGTACATGGGCCGTTCCGAGAACTAGAGGGTGCTTCTGTAATCCGAGGCGGTTTGTTTCATCAACAGAAAACAACAGAAAATATTTGACGCTAGGAAAATACTTTAAAGGGACAGAGAAGCAGTGTATCAGCGAGATAAAAACACTTAAGAGCGCAATTTTTAAAGCCCTAAAGTAAAGGAAAAGAAGATAAGGCTAGCCTACTCCAAGCGCTTAAGTAGACAACCTGGAAAGAAACTGATACTATGAATGCCAAATGCACCCGGGGTCACGAGGATCCCCAGTAAAGGAAAAGAAGATAAGGCTAGCCTAATCCAAGCGCTTAAGTAGACAACCCAGGAAAAAACTGATAATATGAATGCCAAATGCACCCTGGGTCACGAGGATCCCTTTCTTCTGGAGGCCGGATCTAAATAACCTCAAACCGAACATACTTCGTAAGCTATTTTACACCCTGCTTCCAAGTCATACGCTGCCCGGTTCACCGTCTGCGCCATTCTGAAGTAAGCATGGTAAACGATTTTTCGGTATCCGTAACACATGGCCGAGCGATCGCAACAGATGGTGCTGGATGTTTCATGCGACTCCCACGCGACCAACCACCCGTTTCACAATCACCCCGTTAGGAACCCGTTAATGCCGTCTGACACCAGCAACGCTACTGTAGCCTGATACACGCGACCCTTGAGACTCGGTAATATATGCCTTTTGGCACCACAAGTGAGGCAATTGGCAAACCTGACTCTGGCCTTTGAGATCTGTGCACTAACTTCATCAAACAAACTTCCGTCAGGTGTGTAAAACCCTCCAGAACCTCCATAGATTTTCCTTGAACTAAAAGGTTAACGTTCATAAACATGATAATGCATTTTTCAGCACGATAATGCTTGAGCAGAGATATAAACTCGCACACTTCTAAGGCTAAAGGGGCTCCATACTCACAGTTTACCTTTCTTTTAAAGACAGTCCGACAGTCCGTATTGGAGGTGTTAGGTGGCCAAATGAATTATTGTTCGAACTATGTACCCAATTCTAGAAAGGTTCTTCTTTGATGGCTATCAGAGAGCCATTCTGGTCCCCGAAGGATTCACTGGAAAGAGGAACTGCCGAACGAACTAGGTGGAACAACCTTCGGAACTGCGGATCACTTTTCGCATCTTCCATTTCTTCCTCCTTTCGGATCCACCAAGCTTCCCAGTCTGGTTGTCGGGTGATATGGCCCATCGCGTTGCGGCTACGACTAGAGAAGATCTCCCTCTGGGTCACAAGCAATAACAGGGTCCTATCAGAGATCCAATGCTTCGAAGAGGCCGGCTGGATTGTACCGAAGGAGGAAGTCTAGGTACTACAGATAAATTTTAACATCTCGCTTTCGTGAAGGCTGACATCTGGTTTCAGAACATCAGGCAGGTAATGGGGAATCAAGGTCCGATTCAGTTGTTCGGTTGTGGAATCCATGAGTTCCTTAATCCCCAAGTGGTGCGCGCCTCTTGCGTAGTGGTGCGTAATGGTGTGTCCGGTGGAGTCATGTTTTCAGCAGACATGGTCCTATCAGAGATTTAATGTCTGGATAGGGTTGGCTGGGTTGCACCGCAAACAGAAGTTCCGGCTTTGAGTAACGCTTTGGATATCTGTTCTCAGTGGTCGTTTATATCCGACATCGGACCGTCCGGTACGCGTTCGATGAACCGGTTCTGATGGTTTCGTCTAATTTATGGGTCGACTAGATTCTCATTGGCTAAGCGAGGTGTGCACGTTTTGCATAAACCTGAAAAGCGCAATGAAAAGCAGCAGCGCACATGTGCAAGGCCGCTGGTGCTATAGAAGAAGCGCCAGGCGATGATCGACTCTCACTGGTGGCACCATAGTCTACTTAGATTCGGGGCCGGTTCGTTAATCCGTACCAAGCTTCCATACTATTTACGCTGTTCCGGGAATCGGTACTACCAAGAAACAGTCTGTGATCAGCACACATCAGCAGCGGCACTTTCCGTTACCCGCATTTTTGGTATGTAACCCAGGACGACCAATCGATTGGAATTCGGCGATGCTACCTGTCTGGGAGTTTGCGTCACTACCGACATAACGATGCCTGAGCTTTTAGCCCGTTGTAAAAGAACACCCAGAGCATCACAGGAACTGTCACTGGCAGATTCGAAGCCACAGTCCGTCAACGGCGTATGTCGATACAATAAATAAGTGATGGACTCTTTTCTTCCACATCCCTTCAAAAACGTGGCCAAATGAACCGCACAGAAGCGGCTAGCAACGGGTATCTAATCAAGTAGCGACGCTTCCACTCGGTAGCTGAACCCACCTCAGGCATAAGCGGCTGCGGCGGCCTCTGCAGCACCAGAAGTGCGCAGCCGGAACCTAGAAGAGAGTAGAAGTCAGTAGTGGGTTCAATCATAATACTTGCGTCCCTGTTTCTGACAGACAGCGTACATCAATGCAGAAGGAATCCGGTGTACGAGTAAGTGCCGCTTGTTGTGCTACTCGCTTCAGTGTGGGTAAATTAAAGGCAGCTGAGAAGACCGATTTTCGGGGTTTGATAGCCAAATGGCCACAACAACTATTCCTTAGCGTGCACACGGATCTTCACTTCACTTACACTGCGCGGTTTAACATTCATTTGGTAATATCACTAAAACGGGCAAAATCCATCCATCAGCCTATCAAGGTGAAGGCAACTCCAATTTGGGAACGACAGCACACAACCAAGCGTGAAAAAGACACATGGACGGTACATCGTCGAGGACTACGGTGTCGTACAAACAGCTGCCAAATAAGTGAACAACTTGAGGCGCAGTTGCGCCTATGTTATGAAACCAACTGCAACGCGCAACAATAGAACCACAAAAGCAGACGAAAACTTACTGCGCAAGAAGGCCGCCAGGTCAATCAACTCGCGGTCGGCCTCATCACCTTGCCATTTCTTGACTATGAGCGCGTTACGTGGCTGCAGTGAGGCTGCATTAGGGTCCCAGTCGATGAGTATAACGCGCGAGAGATCCCGGTTCAGGCAGGACAGATCCTTAATATGTTTGCCGTTTCTGTATCGGGTTGCCTCACGAAACAGACGGTAATGAATGTATTGACCTTGAGGGTCTAACTGCATGAGAACGGGACTGCCAGTCTGCGAGAAACAGAAACATCCGGAATGAGGCTGGCGACTTGGAACTAGGCTAACACCGAGGGCGTTTGCCTGGGAATTACAAGCAGACGCCTTTGTATCATTACGCTAAGTACACTGTGAAATACGCGAAATTCCGTTCTGCCACTAAACAAGCAAACGCAATAGTTTAAACGTGAACATGGAGTTTTATTTCGCGGGATGGAAATGAGCATTCAAACTTACACTCCCTCGTCAAAAAAAGTAGCGAATATGGTTGAGAGGAAAAAAGTAGTATACTTAAAACATTCCAGCTTCTGGCTTATCCGGAAACTTTACAGAGACTGACATTAGAAAGGATCCAAGCGGAACCTATCTACGACATATCCAACAGTCTCTTCTCCTAGCCCGTCGGATATCCAACCTACTCGTATCAGTCTGGCAAGAGCTGCGCAGTCTATTCTTCAGCTTGTCAGTTGTATTAACTTTAGAGGAAATTAAAACGCTGCCGAACTTCCCATTCGAGTGACATGGTCAGCTAGAGCATCGCCGATTTCTGAGAATTACCAAATGAGCCCAAACTTTCCTGAGGGTAACAGCTTGGAGAGATGTATTCCTACGTCACCAAGCTTCTCCTATACGATTAAATAACGAAGAAAAACGCCATAATAGGGACGCCATAATAGGGTAAATTTGACTTCACAAAAGGACACTGGCTCACAGCACCCGGTGCAACGTCTGTCTCTTTCGAGTAACCATTTTCGACCGGAAGAACTTACGTTACATTTTAAAATTTTGAGCGCCAGTTAAATTCCCGAAGAGTAAATTAATGGCCCTGTGCTCAGTAGATATTTCGGACCAGTTGTTTTACTTCAATATCTACCAAAGGCAAACCAGTGCCAAGGAGTTAAGAAATCACAAAACTTAAAAATGCTTGGAAAAGCAGGAGACCTCCAGACACTAGGCATCCACACATTGATAACGTATCCACAATACACATGGTGCCATTCCAGGTTGTTCCCACAGTTCGTCACCCAGTCTACACCAGGCCAAGTGACAGGAACCGTATGATTTTAAGGCCGGTACCACCATACCCTGTGCACGTACTAGTTCATTATACTGCTGGTTATATACCCGTAACCGGATGTTACGGTTTCCAACTCAAGTGAATGTCCCTAGACAACTGACGGAGGTGCAATAGCTGTCCAGTGCTTCTGAAGCGTTCAGCATAGAGTGACTTCTCCTTCTGGATGATACCGCGACCGAAATCTGACAGCTATTCACTACGTACACGCCACAAAACGAAGAGACACGAAGGAGACCGAGCTGCGAACACGCTACACTCATCGCATAATAAACTGGCTCGCTAACTTGAGGACCTATCTTGTTTTGTTTGGAAATTATCAACCCTACACTGGTACAGGGTTCATCCTACCTGAGTAATACCTTGGGAGACAGCTCTATCGTTCAGCTGTAGCACCCCTTCGGTGCCTAACTGCCATGCCACCAGAAGGTTGCACGAGCGCTGGGATACTGTCAGGTTGCCCAAGCCTACACAGGGGAAGTCGAGAGGCAGAGGTCGGGTTCGAACCACGGACCTTCCGGGCAGTAAATTCGCGTTCTAACCACTTGGACCATCCCGCCCCCAACAGCTTTATCAATGACACAAGTTGTCCTTAGCACGTCGATTCAGTTTACGTGAGACAGCTGATAATTAATTCGACTTATCGTCAACGAGGGCACCAGTTTATATCTTGCAAATGGACTTATTCAGGAATGCATCACGTGCCGCAGGAAGCCAGACTGTCTCTGCAGATGGTGTAACAAACGCACACACACACTACTCTAACTGACACTTTTGCTTTCTATCATTCTGAGCTTGCTTTTTGAGACCCTGTAACTGGCTGTCACTCACCATCTTTCAAAATACAATGTACCCGTTTTTTCACTAATAGACGCAAAAGGTACTTAAGTTACTTTACTTGATCCACATTTAAGTATGCTACGCGCAAGTTGCAAATCCCAAGCCCAGGTACGCAAACTACTACACCACGATGAGGTCCAGTCTCTTATTCGTTTGATACACACATGATAGCTCAAAAATGAGGATCATTTGGTTACTGCTGCGCAAAAAATCCTTCCTGATGGACTGCTCGAAGTCGTTTGGAAATTCTGTCGTTCTCAAACCTAAGATGGACGGGATTCGTTTCCTCATTTATTGACATCTTACTGGTTACCAGACCGTATACTGAGGCGTACAGTTGAATACGTCCACGGGACTTTCATTACCGCTCCTCCAAGGTCATTGATACGTCGAAATTACATGGAAAACCATCACTCTTCCATGGTATTCAGCTGGAATCTAGACAGATCCACCAAAAGGAAAGCTCAAGACGCACACCGATAGGAGGCCAGTTCAGGGACGAACGTTTTTTACGATGTACAAAGATGCCTAAGTGGAGACACGCACTGACCAAGCCGCGGTCTGTGCGTTTACATCCCTCCTCAGTAGGTGAAGTCCCAATATGCCTTTCTGTTTGGAATCTCCATCAAACTGCCGGCCAAAACAGCCTCCACCAGTGCTACTTAAAGATGGAGGCGTATCATTGTGTTCTGTCTTAATTAGATTGTATGAACCTATTTGGGGACAAGAAGGCAACAAAGACAACTGGAACTAGTCGATCATCATACGTCTATTCAAAAAGGTACACAAGGTGACCACTTCAAACGGACCAGCATCAGCCCGACGCGTCATGACGCGGCTGCTGCAATTAATAATACTGAGAAGCCCAACTCAGGTACGTGAGATACAAATCCAGGAGTTAGTGCAAGTAGAATGTACATTGATCACACATTCATACTACGTCAAGTGTTTAATCAGAGCCATATAAACTGTCGGTCAACAATGACAGTTTTCCCCAGACCCAAAGGAGCATCCAACTCTGTAGATAGATCGGTTCTGCTAACTGTACTCGGAGGAATTAAGCCAGAAGTTTGCAAAATTACTCTGGTACATACCGTGTAAATACCTTAGGACGAACTATCCAGAAGGTTCCCTACAACTAGTGAGGTTCGTCAAGGTTGTCTTCCTCCCCCCGTCTGCCTAGCTGTTTCACCGTTCGTCAAGGTTGTCTTCCTCCCCCCGTCCGCCCAGCTGTTTCACCTGCACCAACATAAGATGAACATTTCAAAAGACTATGGATCTTCGTACCGAAACCACGTGCAGAGGAAGACCACCCTACTTGGGCCACGTGGACGAGATTGTCTTGCCAGTTTGACACAATAGTATGCATAGTCTACTTTAAACATAATTTCAGGAGATCCCTTGATTTGGCATACGTTTTGCATCTTTAAAGAGCAAAATACTGCCTCCGGAGTTCATTCCACAAACTTCAGCTCCTGGACTTTTGTTTCAGGGAAACAGGTCTGACTTTGAAGGCTCATTTATCTGAGTAATTACGCAAATTGCGACTGCAACGTGACGGAAGTAAAGTTCTTCATTGTCAACGCGCGGCAACTGTAAAGGTAGTCTTGCTCAATGATTTCGAAACGCTCCGCCTTTAAACGGTATCAAAATCTGACCGACGGTGCTTTCGCAGCAGTCTCGTGTTGGATAGGTTCGCAAATGACAATGGACTAGTCCCACCGACGACTTCTAGATCCGATATCATGCACAGATGTGTTTATCACGTTGATGAACCAAGATGTAAATACTCTGCTCTTGATTTTTTGCCATAGGCAGATAAGAACGTCTGAGTTAAGTCCCCATTCTTCCCAGTAGTTCCATTTTTTGGATATTCTTTACTCACCGTTATATAGTAGTTAAGCACCAGTACTTACTAATGGTGCGTTGCCATCTATGATGGTGGTGGTAGTGATGTCACTACCGTCATCTTCAGAAACGGAGTGAAAGTGAAAGACTGGATGGAGGAAGGACATGGTGCTAGACTACCACAAACATTCTGTGATGACTATAACTCCAAATGCTGAACAAGACAACCTGGAAGGAAACTGACATTGGTCAAAAGCTCTTTCTCCTAAAATCTCCAGCCAAGCACAGGGGTTACGGGGACCCCATCCACGCCAACAATACAAACTCTTTCCGTAATCTCTTTCACGGGGGTGAGATAGCTAAGTGGTTAGAGCACGAATTTAATGACCGGAAAGTTCGTAGTTCGGACCCGACCTCTGCCTCTCGACTTCCCCTATCTAGGCTTCGGCAAGCTGGCAGTACCCCAGCCCTCATGCTTCCCTCGGGTAGCAAGGCAGCTAGGCACCGGAAGGGTGTTAGAGCTGAACGACTTTTTAATCTCTTCCACACCCTTATGCACCTCTCAGTTTGCACCCTTATGAAAGAGGCACAAAGAACAACTTATTTCGATAGACGTCGATTCGGCATGCGTAACACATAAGCAATCTAGATGTTATCCGCGACCAACTAACTTGCTGAACAACCGAACACCCGTTCCCTAATTAGCTCGTTGTGAATTTGACTCCAAAAAACGCTTCTGAGGATACGTGGTAAAAAATTAAAGACGCCTCAGGTCATCTGAGATCATGTATCCCATCCATGAAACTTATTCGTAGCGCGGCACACGCGACTTTTAAGAAAACCATTGGGATCACCAATGGAGCTTGCTATAGAGGCACAGAAAAGGACGCCCACATATCCAAAAGCTTAGACAGACAATCATCAGCTAAAACACCAGCGACGTCAATTCATTGTTGTACAATAAAACGTATCTATCCAAGTGCCAGAGGGTCACATGAAGGGTATTCTGGAAGGTGGAACCAACCGAACTAGCGTCTACTGCTCCGAGAGCATTTGCGGAACATTGGCTTGTGGCTCGCCGTCCAGCTTTGTGATACATTTTTACGCACCAATCGCTGTCCACTGCCACTCCAGTCGGTGAAACCAGCTATGAACACGTAGGAGGGAAAAGCAAAAGGCAAATAAAACACAAACAGGTATAGACAGTTATGGGTGTCGGACTTGCCATTGCGGACTCGTTTGTGAAAGCGACGACTTCGTAGTACGGTGAAAGTTGTTGTAAAAATAGTTCCAGAGCAGGGCGCTTCTTGAATCTCCAACCGGTTCGAAACTAGGGTGAAGGAGAAGTAAACCATGTTTCGAAAGCAGAATACCTTCCAATCCGGATGAACCAGAATTCCATTTAACTCAAGAACCAGAGTGTAAGGTGGTTGGTAGTAGGGAGGCTGTACTGGGTCAGGCAGGAGCTTCTCACTTATTGGATCTTTGATACTCTAACAGGGAAATCGATATAGAAGTTAGACATACCTGATTGAAATCCGTTAGGGAGTTCCACGTCCGGCAAATATAGCCCAAAACCGGTGTCACTGTACAGCAGATAAAGCGGTTCATAAACCTTACTTGCAGAGTATTTATCCTCTTTCTAAAGCAAAATAAACAACTTAAGTGGAGAACATACCAAAGTCCCGTCCTCGTTTTTTTCCGGAGGTCCTTGTTTAAAAGGATGAACGTATAAAGAATGGAAACTTACCCCAAAGGGCGACGGCGAATCCAAAACCAAACAGCCCTGAGCATGTAAGTCCTAGGAATCCCAACTTCCAAGCGTTTTTGCCACGCCATCGAGAGGAGTTAGGACTATCGGCTGTAGTTTCCGGAGGAATAGAGGAAGAAGTGGATCCGGGTTGGGAAACTGAAGACAAGGTTGCGACAAGCCCATGAGTACCAAGTGAGACGTTGGAGCATGTGGCGAGAACCAATCGGCTGTGGAGAGTCGCTCCTCGTAACTTGGAAAGCATGTAATTACGCAAGATGCACGGCTGTAGAAAATTAGACAAACGAAAATCAGGAAGGCATAGAAAGTCACGGCGATCTGTCTGAAGTTATTTCGGATGTCTTAGCCAGGAAGCAACATAAGATTCTAGTGCATCCCGTTCATTTTCAATACTTTCATGTGAACAATCTCACAAATCTAGCTTCTGTCTATTTACCCCGAATTTTCACCTCTCTTCTGCCCGCTTTTTCATTCAAGTACTCTCACGTGTTTATCGCTTATCTGCTTCCCGGTGTTCACACTACCTTGATAAATCTTCGCGCCACCAGGTCCACATTCAAGCCACCATACTTTGGAGCATCAGTTAATCTAATGCCCACAGTGAATGGTCTAGCGGTCGAGCTACATTTTGCTCCACTATGGGGTACCGAATAAAAACAATACAAAAATCCGACAATGTATCCATGGAATTCTTTAATCGTTCTTGGATCAACCGATAGCTGGAAAACGGCCTGTGAGCTTGCCCGTCTATCTTGTTTCTCCAGTTTGGCGTCAGATTGACGTAAGTCCATAGTAGCGCATTGGGCTACGCGCAAAGCGATCGTGTTCAAACAACCACACACTGGCATCCAGTAATCAGGCCACGTCCAGAACGACATCAGAGTATGGAAAAGTGTGGTACACTGGTTACGAAACTGGTAGCAAAGAAACTCGAATGAAAAGATATCGCACTTCCTCTTCAAAAGAAGTCTGCTGGACATTGTCAGTGTGCTCCCATTTGGAAAGGATATATTCGGGTATAGTTCTTATATATTATATATATATGTATATATTTCACCATGAACAGCACAACACCAGTGTTAAACACTGATCCTTCACTACCGTACAACCATGGTTCATCTGAAGGCCTTACTGTGTGGAAAAGAATAAAAGTGCATTGAGAAGGTATTGGTGCTAGTCTATCACGATCATTTTGAGGTGTCTACACTCACATACACCCATTCAGGTGATATGAAAAAAAACTGACAACAGGAACACCAATAACATAGATGAGCATCTATATCATGGAGCATTCCTAACCAGGCACAATGTGGATCACGCGATCCCCATCCTGGACAGCATTCGGACTATTCGTAATACATTTCATACCCTCCTGCCAGGTCAAAGGCTGGCCACTCCTCTGCTTCTGCTGTCATGATTTGGGCATCGAAAACAGAACTGTATTAAGCAAATGATGGTTTGGTATGCGTGATAGATGGCCTGACAACGCAGTTTCTGAAGCTGGACACATTCTTCGGTGGAGGTCCTCGGTGCACAAAAAACACTCGCGTTCTGATTTTCTGGCATCAAAGTACACCAGCTACGGTTCTGCGACAACAGCTGTCGAAATCCTGGAGACATCTCAGTTCCGTTGCTCGAACAGGCCATGTCCCACAGCCATACACCTAATTAACCCGGTAGATATGTCCATTGAGATTCAGTGATATATCGGTTTGAGGCCAAAGGTGTCTCAGACTAACGAACACCATCCGGGCATTAGAGATTCGTATATTGGTCCCATCCGTCACAGGACAAGCGGAACTAACATAACATTCAAGATAAGTAAAACGTTGCACAACCCTGAGTGTCTCTTCTTGGATTGAGTGACCTGTTCAGTGACGGCATAACCTTGCACTTTATGGGTGCAAAGCGCGTACCAAAGGACGAAATGATTTTAGTCAGTCCATCCAAAAACACTGGTGCCTTCCTCTCCTTTGAATACAAGGAAGGCGGTGTCTACATACTCCAGATCGATAAAGTTTACAGTCAGGGTTTTGCAGACCCTCCAGCATTCGTATCATCATCTCGTTGACCACGGAATCAAATAGGAATGTGGATGGTGGGCGCCCTTAACGGACACCACTTTGTGTGCGCAAACTCCTGGATAGTTCTTCGTTTTTTTTCTCAAAAGGCCTCACGGGCAAGCGTGTCAAGGAGAACACGCCGGTCAACCGAGTCGAGTCCCCAATAGAAAACCAGGAACATTAAAATTGTGGGTAGTCATATGCATGGCGTTATTTTATTACCTGATTGAATGTGAAGATTTGCTCTAGGCAAACTCTACAAGCCCGGAATTTTGCTTTCTCCACTTGAATAAATGCCTCACAAACCACCATAAAGGCGACGAAAGAAAAGTAATACTGAAAGTCTCGTTACAACCAAGGTCAAGCTGATTCCCCTGCGACTACCGCACTCGGTACGAACTCCTCGTTCAGAAATGAGCAGTCACCGATTGTCCCCAGTTGTCTGGGAAAGTCTCTCGAACGCAGAAAATGGATCAGACAGGACTTATCCCAATCCTTGAAGGCAGCCGATAGGTTATACGGACCAGAAGGTCGGTGGCGCTTGGGGGAACATGTGCAGCCGTATACCTCCGAGGCCCTAGGGAGGGTCCATCTCCATCGTCCAAGGTTCTACTGCAGTTTCAGGATCCAACTGGGGGGTTACGGGTGGCCATGGAAATAGCTTTTCAAAGTGTTTGGCTCAGTGGTCGAGGCATTCTTCTTTGTTCAAGATGGTTTCGCTCACAGGCGGTTTCCGGGGCCCGGTAATAAGGAACAACTGAAATAACCTCCCGGCATTTCCGGGTCTTTTCCATTTCCTTAGCCTTCGCTGTATAGCAGACATCACGGTCAGTAGGAAAGCTCACTTTCACTTGACGCCTGATAATTCGTCAGCCCAAAGTGTGTTAGGGACCGGTGGGGACATTTCGAGGTTCAAGCAGTGCTACTGCCACCTGATATCGTGTCGTGCTACTGAGATAACTCCCGACAATGCGCAAATATGTGGCGATCTCGCTCCAGCGCAAGTTCGAATCCGATGGAGGAAGTGGAAGAGCTCAGAAGATTCTTATAAACCCATCTAATATCGGAGACCTGCAAGGCTCTCAGTTGCTAAGCGATTTGTCCGCACCTTACGTTGCCCCGAAAGCGAATAAAGAAGCGACTCGAGACCAAAGTAGAGCATCAAAGTCGAGCGAGCTAGCGTGAAGGCGAGAGCAGGTTGTTGTCCTGCTTGCTACTGAAGGAAACATTAGAAGCAGCCAGACACATCTGATGGATTAAGAGATGGTTGAGGGTGTCAGCGCGGGTTGGTGTTGAAGCCAAAAGAAGAACGAGACCATCAGGCCTGACTGGTGAGGAAATCTAACAAGGGGTGGGGGAGAGGGAAGATGTGAGAGAAAAAGGGGGTGTCAGCAGTAAACCTTTTTCGCCTACCTGCCCCGCTGTATATAGCAAGCAAGGCTAGCGACTAATGATACCAACCGAAAATCGTAAGTGTTTGTAAATCTGTTGTTCATGGTTGTTATTCATGGCTGAGATACTGACCAAACAGACCCACACGGGAGAACGACTCGGATCCTCGAACAAAGCCTTGGATTCAGAAGCCTGATCGCAAGGTAGCAGTGTCAGGCGGAAAATGCATCTGTCAGCGGCGCCCATGCATCAAAGCCTTCAAATTTGACGTGCAAATGCAGGGTTTCCCAAACTAACAGGTCGAGATATCGCTCTCAATGGTTTACTGTAGCTGGATACAGCGTGAGGCCACACGTTTTCCCCTTTTCTGGTGACTGGAACATTAGCAGCTCAAACTAACACACCCTTCCTACAAGGTCTATAGCTGTAACACCGACTGAGTGGCTGACTAATTGGTTGTGCATCAAGTCGCTGAATAAAATCGCCTAAAATAGGGCAGAAATGAATTTCGAATGGAGAAAATCCCAGGTGAGTGTGTGGATGAATGATACTTCTGTTAGTCCTAGCTTCAGATGATAACTGCACATGTTGGTTTTGACGCCAATAAGGATAGTTAGGATGTTATGGGCTCGTAGATAATGTTTTGAAACCCTGTTGTCCCTTGGTTCCTTGTTCTACCTACTACGGTATATCAAAGAGTACGACATATTGAGACGGTCTTTGTATGGGGTGAATGGAAAATCTCTACACCTTTATTTACAGAGATCATGGAGTTTTCCATAAGCTGCAGTATGCATGCTACGGAAGCACAAGGGGACAGTGATACTCCGAAGGCAGCGATTCACAACGAGTTCCGTGGATTAAAAACAGAAAGTCCATGACCCTAAACCCAGTGGGCATGGTTGTACATCGCCAATACTTACATGTAGATGAACCAAAATGGAAGGCACTGAATATGACACAGACAAAGCCGGAAACGTCGTGATGCTGCGAGGAGCGCCGACCTAAAAAGGGCCACCTTGATTGGCTCACATTCTGACCAATGAGTGCATGCCTGTGTATGGTCCATAGACACCACGTGACACGCCCATGCAAACAATATGCGTTCGGTTACTCAGAGCGGCTCGCCTCCGGAGCGGGATTGGTCAGGATCCAGAGCATGAGCTTATGGGTCCTTTACGACCGCCTATAGGGCGCGGAACCCAAGTTTAGAGCGGCGAACAGCTCTCCGCTTGTAAAGATGCGAAGCGCTCAGACGAATTTAGTGTGTCTATATTCAGCTTGATCTAGAGCTGTCCGAAATATCATAATCACATTTGAGCCATGAACCCTTTCTGAATGACGGACTTCACTGCAGGTCCGATGTATACACATATAAGTGCAATAATGGTCTATCCTTAGGGGTACAATGCTCGCACCTTCAAAAACTAAGTGACGGGAGTGAAAAATTCTATGCCAAAATGCTTCAGCTTGTTGTATGTATGATCAAACCAGGAAAGATCGTAATATGCTCTCGTTTTGTCACGATTTTTCGAAATTGTTCCTCCCTCTAAATTTTTGGTGCGCATTAGACTTCGAACTTGCTGTGCTATGGCGTCGGAAGTGGCTTCACACACATTGGTTGAGAAATCGAGAGCTGTATTCTTTTTTCGCTCCGTTTCAGAGGACAAACGGACAATATAAACGGAAAGTCGAGAAATTCAAAGAAGCGGTTAGCTGATCGTGTTTTCTAATATGAAACAGCAGTCGAAGCACTGGTTGTCCAGTGCGTTTTTTCTAAGGAAGCAGGTTAATAATCTCCCTGACATCTCCCATTATCTCGAACAAAACCATAAAGTTTCTAAGTTTCGTACAATATGCTTCCGGTAAATCCACGGCCAACCGGGGAGAGGTTGGGAACCACGATGCCCTGTGACGTGTGGCATGCTGCCTTACGCTGTGCGGCAGCTTGTGGCCGACGAATTTGGCAAGTATCAAGTGACGATCATCGTCATCGACAAGTTACCGACACAAAGGTGGATAGCGAGAGTGGTGTTCGGCTGCGATAAACTGTTGTGCTAATTCCATATTAGAAGAGCTGTCGGAAAGCACTACGTATATTATAACATCCCTATACTTTGGTCACAGACACTGCAAGTAGTCAACGCATACTCCTCCGTATGGTGTGCCTGGACAGTGCCGTACAATAAGATTTTCCATTATCATATTACTAGCACATAGATTCCGACAAGATCCGCAAATACTACATCGCACGGACCCGCGATCTGTCCTTTATCTAACGGCCCGCTCGTTGTACGTTACCCTTGAATGGGCATTCCACGCACAATCCCGTATGGTGATGTGACCGAAAACCGTCCGCAGAATGCCGACTAAAATACCGGTGCACCACTCAGACACACCGAAGCAACAGTTATTACGGCACGTCCCGTGGCTTGTGCCGGAATATGAGATACACAAGTCATATCACTTAGACCGACGGGAAACCCTGGAGTGTTACGGCTACGTCCGGAACGTTTTCTCTCAAATGACTACGTACGCACTTTCCCTCGCTTTGATGGAATCGGGACAGAGAACCCCAAATCCTCACTATCGTGCCTTTGGAACAAACGAGGTGAGGTCAATCTACACTAACCAACTTATGGTTCCTGGTGCTCAGCTGCTACAAGATGGTTGACACCTGTGTTAGAGAACGTACATGTCCCTTTACCAGGCAATGTAGTCGCCAAGCTTTCATTCGTTCTCAGCATTTAGAGACTACTCGGTTTCAAGCAGTTTGAAATATTCGCTATGGATATCTTATTAAGTTGCTTTCACATCCACCCATAGCGGCGGTCTGATTACAACCAACTGGGACAGGATGTACCTCTTACACCTTTTGCCACCCAACGGCCGACATATTTGGATGGCCTGCATAGATAACTTAATCGTGCAGTGGATGAGCTAAAGGGGCTGGAACCAAGGAGGTTCACGGCCATCATCAGGCAGTTAACTGTTCAGTTGCAAATCCTGCTGCGCCAAGCCTCGACATCTGCGATTGGCGATCCGCCATTGGTGGTCTTGTGTAATCTACCTGGATCCATGTTGTAGTCAAGGGACATAGACATGGATTTTGTCTGCTTTGAGAAAGGCTGAATAGTACCAGCGACAGCTGGTGTGAGTGTATTAAGTGTAGTACCACGTCGACTTCTGTTGCGTTGAACATTGCTGTGGTGTGTGCCATTCAAGTTGTCCAAAACGTGAGTCCGCAAACGAAGAATTTATTTTCGGTCGTATTAATTAAAATGTTTATTCTCAACTTCCGGGTGGCTTGCCGTTGGGCATGATCATAAGGTTATAGTCAGGAAAGAAACATGACTGGCGGGGATTGTGTACAGGGGTTCTTGGGAAAATTGACAGCATCATGAGCAGCGGGCTATATCCGAAATAGATGTGGTCACCACTAAACTGGTACGGGCAAGAAAGCACAGTTGCCTCTTTTGGAGAGAATATCGAGCAAAATCAGATCGGTAGGATATGAAGGTAGCGAGAGAAAACAAAGTGGGGGAGGGCAAGACAAGAGGCTCCTGTCTGATATATGACAGAAAAGTGTGATTTGCGGAAAATGCGCAACCAGAACATCGGATCTGATGAAGTAGCAGAGTTGGAGTCATCCAGCCGACAGAATGGAGCTAAAACGTAACGCCACCGATGGGGGCCGCTCAGTATTCGCACAATGGAAGCTACGGCATTTTCGGGCTT